TGCATGTTTTCACAGTTCACCGAAATATGACAAGGCTGTGAAGGATTCCTGATCTCTGTCATTTTTAAATGGCTAAAAAAAAAAAAAAAAACTCTTTCAAACAGTTGTAACCTCAAACTTCATTTGGAGAACTCTTTAGAAATATGAACCGCATACATTGATCTATATATTAAGATTATTTCCTTTGCTTTTAAAATACATCGCATTGCATGAGTCTCTCACAAGGGTCAGTTTGATGTTGAGCATGTAAAACTACAAATTTATTTTTATTTTATTTTATTTTATTTGTATACCGCCCTTCTCCAACAGGACTCAGGGCGGTGAACAGCCATGGTAAAACATAACATATAAAATTTAAAAGCAATTTAAAAACATTAAATAATTTGGCTATCCAATTAAAACCACCCGGGTTAAAACCAATTACAAATTAAAATTGAAGGGATGGGATCAAGCCAGCCCGGCTAGGTGAAAAAGATGTGTTTTCAGGGCCCGACGAAAAGTCCGGAGGTCTGGTATCGTGCGTATCTCTGGGGGCAAACAGCCGCTAGACCTTCTGTTTCTTAATATTAACAATTAAAGCATGGAAGGAAAACCAAGGCAGGTGAAATCTTGGCCCCCATCGCTCAAGATGATGTCACCCTTCGAATAAAAAGTTGTTTCCAATGAAACCGCGGCAGAAACCAACTTCCTGGAAGTAGCGTCGCAAAACCGAAATAAAGAGAGACGTTTCCTTACCGCAAATTTCTTGATGTAATCCGAGACACAAGATGCCCCCATGCTCAAACCAAGGGACTTATGCAACGAAGAACTCTGATAAAGGGTGCCCATTTTTTCCCCCCTTTTTTTCCTTTTTTGATGTCCTCTCGCACTCGTTGGGCAGACCACCAAGGACGGCCCACAGCTTTTGACTCAATGGAGAGAAATGAAAGTCTGGCTCAATCTCGCTGGAATGGACAGCCTCCTTTATCTGTCGCTGAACCAGGCATTTCAACCACTTTCTTATCTTGCAGGCCGAGCGATTATCTGTATTCCTACAGCTCACTTCCTGAATGGCTGATAGGGGCCATGGCACAGGGCATTGGCGCTGACGGGACTAATGAAATCTGTACAGAGACTGCCCATTCTATTGCACGGAAGCCCTTTCGTAACCTGCGTACACCAGAGGCAATGCCCAGGAGTGTTGCTTTCGGGATAAGAGAATTATCCTACCTAAATTAAATTAGAGAGGGCTTTGCAATGCGTCGGGTGTAATTCTCAAAAATTACTTCAAAAGGAGGTAATGGGCATGAACAAAGCTGATGCTGGGAGCTCGGTAATGACACCCATAGTAAGAAATGAGCTGCCCACCAAAATTAGATTTCAGCTCTTTTCAGAATCGAATGCGTAACACTGAACAAGCAACCCCATTAAGTTGCCATCTGGGAGACAAACTTTTCAGGTAGCTGAGGAAATAGCAGTTTCAGGTTGAGCCTTGTCTGTTTCTTGCAAGATATGTAGGGTGTAAGAAGATTCACCCTTCACGTATATACCATGTAGAGACTAAGGATTTCACGGTATTGGTATAAAAGACTTAGTAAGGCCACACCTGGAATACGGCATCCAGTTTTGGTAACTACATTACAAAAAAGATTGTTGAGACTTTGGAAAAAGTGCAAAGAAGAGCAACTAGGATGATTAAAGGCCTGGAAGACAAAAACATATGAAGAACAGTTGCAGGAACTGGGTATGGCCAGTCAAGAGAAAAGGAGGACTAGGGGTGACATGATAGCAGTGTTCCAGTATTTGAGGGGCTGCCACAAAGAGGAGTGGGTCAACTTATTTTCCAAAGCATGAAAAGACAAGACAAGAAACAATGGATGGAAACTAATCAAGGAGAGAAGCAACCTGGAACTAAGGAGAAACTTCCTAAGAGTGAGGACAATTAACCAGTGGAACTTAATTGGGGCTTAACCAATTAACCTCCAGTCCCGGGAGGTTTTTAACGAAAGACTGGATAGCCACTTATCTGAAATGGTATAGGGTGTCCTGCTTGAGCAGGGGGTTGGACTAGAAGACCTCCAAGGTCCTTTGCAGCTCTATTCTGATGGCATGGATGCAAATCCATAACAGGTTCCAAGGGACATGCACAGCCCAGAGTCATAATGGAGAGCTAGAGAGCCATAGATAGGTTGAAAAGATTGCAAATGGCAGAGGGAGGGAGGGAGGGAGGGAGGGAGGGAGGGAGGGAGGGAAGGAAGGAAGGAAGGAAGGAAGGAAGGAAGGAAGGAAGGAAGGAGAGGGAGAAGGACAATCTTGCATGACAGCAAAGGTCCCCATTAGGAAATCTGGCAGCTGGTTTGGAACAAACAAGCTCCAACCTTCCTCCCTTAATTAGCAGCTCTAAATACAGACAGGTTGTGTAAAAGGACACCCTGCTACCACAGTGGTTAACATAATACATGAAGATAACTGCATTATCAGTCAGATTTCCTCTGCCTTTGGACTTCTTCGTTTGAATGCAAGCAGTTTTTCTTTCTTTCTCTGAGGTTCTGCAGAGGGTAGACAGGAAGACGATAGATGATAGATAGATACGAGAGATAGATAGATAGATACGATAGATATAGATACGATAGATATAGATACGATAGATAGATATAGATACGATAGATACGATATAGATACGATAGACAGACACAGACAGATAGATGAGAGATGATAATGATAGAGAGATGATAGAGAGATTGATAGATGATAGAGATGATAGATATAGATACGATATAGATACGATAGATACGATGTAGATACGATAGACAGACACAGACAGATGAGATGATAGATAATGATAGATTATAGATTGATAGATAGATGATAGAGATGATAGATAGATAGATAGATAGATAGATAGATAGATAGATAGATAGATAGACAGATAGACAGACAGACAGACAGACAGATTTTAAGGTACATGTCCTTTTTAGTTTGGCATAGTTTCATTGTTCGCAGGGAAATTTTGAAGATAGCAATGAGTGAAAGTTACTTTTAGAAAGGGAGAGTGGGTTTTTATTATTATTATTATTTTGCTACAATTGAGTCTTTCAATGGATCAGCCTTCCCTGACCTGTTCCAGTGTGGCATTTTATCCCAGCAGATTCAGGAAGCCTGCCAAAGAAACAAGTAGCAGGCAGCTTGTAAGATTGGGCAGAAATTTCAGTCATGCCAACCAGCTCACAGGCGTAGCCTGAAGTGCTTTCCTGGTGCAGCAAATTGAGCCATTGTCACTTTCCCAGTGAACCGCTAAGCGGTAACTGAGGTGCAGAGTTGAACAATCTCCATAAGCAAAAACGAATAGATGACATCTCACCTCCCTTCCCGTGGCAACTGGGCTTTCGTATTAATTCTGTTTGTTCCGAATCCCTTTTTTCTAACCCAAAGATCCCGAGAGTTTCTTCTCAAACGGTCAGTAACTAGTTAATCACCAAATACTTCTGCCCTTGAAGGTGGGAAACTTTGCAATGTTGTTATTTTGGATTTCACAAAAGCTCCTTGGTTCATTCCTCTGTGCTGTTTAGCTGTTGCATTACCAACCAGTGCTAAGTATCCAGTATCAAGGGAATAAAAAGATTCTTTTTCCCATTTCCTTTGCTGTTTAGAACAGTTAATTTCTGGGCACTCAAACCAGGAACCTCAGATGCATAATGGCCCATTGAAAGTCTCCTTAATACAAGGAAAATCCTGTGTGTTGGTCCCTTTACCACTTACCTTTTCTTTTTTTTTTCCCCTTTAAAAATTTTTTATTGATTTTTTTATTAATTATATTTCTTAGTGCTTAACAAACATTGTGTTGTCTGGGTCTTTAATTTGCTTAACAATACTGGTTACGTTCTTAATCTCCACCCCCTTTTTCCCCAACCACTGATAAAATAGATTCCAAGTTTGATAGAATCCTGTGTCTTCTTTCTGCTTAATGCTCAATGTCAATCTATCCATTTCTGCACAGTCTACTATCTTCTTAATTTACCTCTTCCTCTCGCGGCGTTTTTTCATTTTTCCAGTGTTGTGCGAATATAATCCTCGCTGCTGTTGTGACATGTAAATTTTTTTGGGGAAATATTTTTTATTGTTTTATATCATACATTTCCTTTCTACGTTGAGCAGTGTGCTCTCTAGGTGTCCAAAGTGTTAACATATGCATTCAAAAATCATCGTCATTATGATCATATATATATAAACAAAAATGCGATCACATCAATCATATTATAACATACTATATTATTTTCCATTATATTATCGATTATATAACCGTCATAGATATTTACTCAACTGTTTTTCTTTCTCCTGTAAACCATATTTCACCTAATTCCACTCCTCTAACCTCAATATCAGTTATTTAACCATTTATAGAATAGTTCCCATGTTATGTAATAGTCCGAATCTTCTTTTCCTTTAATTTTTAGGGTTAATGTATCCATCTCTGCACATTCCAGAATTTTTTTATTATAATATCGTCTGCAGGAGTTTCTGGGTTTTTCCAACATTGAGCCTATGCGATCCTAGCTGCTATTAGCATGTGTAGAACCAAATATGTGTTACCCCTATTATAATTTTAACATATAATATTGAATACATACCGTGTTTCCCCGAAAATAAGACCCTGTCTTATATTTTTTTGAACCCCGAAATAAGCGCTTGGCCTTATTTTTGGGGAGGTCTTATTACTTTGGGGTGCATGGAGCAAGATGGGGATCCTCTTGCTGTCTTACCTGATTTCCAGCTCTACGTTTAAATATTTTCGGGGAGGGCTTATTTTCAGCGGGAGGCTTATTTTAGCGCATGCGCTCTAAAGCCCGATGGGGCTTATTATCAGGGGATGTCTTATTTTCGGGGAAACAGGGTGCTTTTCTTATCTGATTTTTCCCGACATTATACCTAATAAAAAACAGTTCAGGTTTTAAAAACTGCATGTTTCTCTACCGTCTTTTCTAGCCCTCTGTCTATCCTTTTACCCAAAATTTAGCACCTACCTTTTCATTGATCTTCCAAGTCAACGTAGAATTGGATACTAGCATAGAGCACAGAGGTGTCACCCAGAAACCTGCAGCAGAAAAGCAGCTCAGGAGCCCAGCTAAATCTTTTTATCCGTTATAAATCAGGAACGACCATCCGCAAAGCTGCCATTGGATAGAAATAAAATGGAAACATATGTTTTCTCCTGCGGAAGCATCCTCAGACAGCCCTCATCTTTCTGACAGCACAAGTTTGGCAGCCACACATTTCAAAAGGTGCATCCCTCCGGATGGATTAGATGAAAAGGTCAGAATCTCTACCGGCTTCCCTAAAATAATTTTAGAGACGTTGAGATTTGCCTCCCGCATGTTCCCGCAAAGAGGGAACATTTCAAGGCCAAGAAGATCCTCCTGCCTTAAAAAAAAAAAAAAAAATCTTCCACGGTCTATTTTGAAATCATTTCCCTCTGGGCCATCACCAATCCTGACTTTGCTAATAATGACTGCATATTGTTAGCTGTTTCTATTTAGGAAAGTGGAGAGGAGAAGTGGGGGGGGGGAGGAGGGCAGGAGGATCTGGTCAGATTGAGGTCGGAGTGGAGTGGATTTTTAAAACTCCCAACTCGGTGATGGACACCGTGCAAGGGACAGTAAGAGCCTTGGTAGTACAGTGGTTTAATGCACCCTGTTATTAACACAGCTGCCTGCAATTTCTGCTGGTTCGAATCTCTCCAAGGCTCAAGGTTGACTCAGCCTTCCATCCTTTCTAAGGTGGGTTAAATGAGGACCCAGTTTGTGGGGGCAATAAGCTGACTTTGTAAAAAAAAATATACAAAAGTATGAAGGCTATTGCTTAACGCATTGTAAGCCGCCCTGAGTCTCCGGAGAAGGGCGGCATATAAATCAAATTAAAAAAAAAAAAAAAAAAGATGGCAGGGCCATCGTCTCCCAGTACAGCAAGACTAATGGGTTTTGAAGTAATTAACGATAAAGGAGAATTATTTGTGGCATGGGGTGGGGGGGTCTGATGATGTTCTGTGCACTGATGTTACCTAGTTTGGGTAATAAAAGGTCTGCAAGAAAAACAACCAACTCAGAGAGCACCAAGAATCCCACAGTCCTCCTCCTCCTCCACTACTACCACCACCACCATATCATTATCATCATCCACTACCTCTTCCTCCTCCTCTCTGTAAACCCTACTCCCTTCTAGCACTGATGATGTTACCTAGTTTGGTATGAAATGTCTGCAAGCAAACAACCAAGCTAAGAGAGCACTAAGGACCCCAAAATTGTCATCGTCATCTTTGTCCTCCTCCTCCTACTCTAAACCTCACTTCCTTCTAGCACTGATGATATTACCTAGTTTGGTTGTAAAATGTCTGCAAGAAAACAACCAAATTAAGAGAGCACTAAGGACCCTACAGTTGTGGTCCTCATCTTCCACACCATCCTCATCATCCACTTTCTCCTCCTCTTCCTCCTGCAAACCTCCCTCTCTTCTAGCACTGATGGTATTACCTAGTTTGGGTAATGAAAGTCTGCAAGAAAACAACCAAGCTCAGAGAGCACCTAGAACCCCTCATTTGAAGAAATTGGAAGTAGCTGGTACTTAAAGAAGACCCCCCTACACACATACACACATACCTTGACAATATCTTTACATCCCACTTGTGTTAAGAGTACCCGGTGAGCAAGACTGTCTAGCACAAAACGTTGTGCATTTCCCCCCCAAACTGTGGTATATGAGGGTGCTTTGTTTATTTAAGAAAACTTTAAACTACCATTTCTTTTTTTAAAAAAAATCCTTGTTTTTATTTTGAGGGTTAGGATTAGGGCATGATTTTACTGAATCCATCACCTCAATTCGTGGCTGCTCTTCTACGTTAATCCAAAACTTGATCGTTAGTCCAGAAAGATAAAAGGACTCTGCCAAACAAGAAATTGGGTAGATCATTAATGGGTTGGGAATTTCTTCCTTGTGACGATTTCACTGAAATTGCAACACATTTCAGGTGATCCTTGAACACGCATCTGTTCCCGAAAACATACCGCAAAAGGAATTTTGCACATTAGTTTACGTCTCTAATTACACCATTCCACTGGCTGCATACCCACTTCCTGACACACATAAACATTTGTTCAGCTTGAGGTTTAAAAGACAAAGATAAACCCCCAAATCCCAATCATAGGAAAATAGGAGATATAGAGATATAGATATAGATGTTTTCTGAGGTTTTCGCGGGTGTTTGTATGGAGGTCTTTGGTTATTCGGGTTTTCTTCCGCGTAAAATTGGAAGTGTCTTGGCGACATTTCGACGAAGTCTCATTCGTCATCTTCAGGCTGGTGTTTTCGGCTTCGTGCTTCTAGGAGCAAAGGAAGCACGAAGCCGAAAACACCAGCCTGAAGATGACGAATGAGACTTCGTCGAAATGTCGCCAAGACACTTCCAATTTTACGCGGAAGAAAACCCGAATAACCAAAGACCTACATATATATATATATATTTCCCAGTTCAAGGTAAATAAACGAAGAAGAGGCAAGCATTCCGATGAACTAGAATTTCTTTAGCAAACATTTAACCATGCGGTTTCTTTCCTTCTCTTATTGATTCCTGGCCTCAGAAATCATTTTCAGAAGGATTGGTTCATTTTCCTAAAATTGTAAGTACAGATCGAAGGAGCGGGAAGGAAGAGGGGAAAAATATCTTGGGGAGATACATTGCCTAGAAAAGTTCAGCACGCGTTCCTTCATAGCACTTTAGTAAGTAGTAGAGCCAGTGGTGGGTTTCAAAATTTTTTACTACCGGTTCTGTGGGTGTGGCTTAGTGGGCATGGCATGGCTTGGTGGGCATGGCAGGGAAAGGATACTGTAAAATCTCCATTTCCACCCCAATCCAGAGGAAGGTTACTGCAAAATCCCCATTTCCTCCAGATCAGCTGGGACTTGGGAGGCAGAGAATAGATTTGGGTGGGGCCAGTCAGAATTTTTACTACCAGTTCTCCGAACTACTCAAAATTTCTGCTACCGGTTCTCCAGAACTGGTTAGAACCTGCTGAAACCCATCTCTGAGTAGAGCGAATGTTTCTTTTGTTCTTCCTAGCAAATGAACAAGTAACCATAGTACAAGTAGTCCTCAATTTACAACTATTCGTTTAGTGACCGTTTGAATGGCACTGGGGTAGGGGGGAAGTGACTTACAACAGGATTTTTTTTACACTTACAATCATTGCAGGCCTCTCCATGGTCACATGATCAAAATTTGTGATCAAATTTCAGAGGCTTGGCAACTGACTCGTATTTATGACGGTTGCAGTGTCCTGGGGTCGTAGGACATTCTACTTTTGTGACCTTCTGATAAGCGAAGTCAACGGGGAATCCAGATCTGCTTAACAGTCATGTTACTAACTTAACCACTGTAGCAATTAACTTCACAGATGTAACAAAAAAGGTCACAAAACAGGACAAAACTCACCAAAGAACTTCTTGCAGTGGAAATTTTGGGCTCAGTTGTGGTCGTAAGTCGAGTACTACCTGTGTAATGGGATTCTTTTTTTTCCCACAGGAAAGCAGCGCCACCTAGCGCTGGAAGATGGAAAGGCAAGAAGAGAATATTTGGGAAATTCCATTCTATCCCAATACAATAAACGTACATGTATCTGTGGAGCCAAAGAGGTAGATCTGACTCATATATTATTATTTGATTGCTGTTTATATAAGGGGGCGAGAGAGAAGTACCTTGATCCACATATTAAACGTATGGCCTTGTGGGAGGCCCATATTAAAACAACATATCTCTTGCGTGGCCAGAATCTGAAAACGACATTTAAGGCAGCACAATTTCTGACTAAAATGGTCCGATTGAGATTGGCATAGGTGGGCTTGATTAGGGTAGATTGCAGGGGTGATAAAAGAAATATAATTTTATCTCATTTTATTCTATTTTATATATTTATGTATTAAATTATTGTATTTTATCCTATAACTGTTGTATTTTTCCCTACTCTCATTTTAAATTGTTTAGAATTTTATTGGTAATATGTGTTTGAACCTCTATCTATCTATCTATCTATCTATCTATCTATCTATCTATCTATCTCTAGTCTGTCTGTCTGTCTATCTATCATCTACCGTGTTTCCCCGAAAATAAGACAGGGTCTTATATTAATTTTTGCTCCAAAAGACGCATTAGGGCTTATTTTCTGGTTAGGTCTTATTTTGGGGAAAATACGTTACTAAATGCATCCATCTGGCTGACAATCTTAACTGGGGCTTATTTTGGGGATAGGGCTTATATTTCGAGCATCCTGAAAAATCATGCTAGGGCTTATTTTCCGGTTGGGTCTTATTTTCGGGAAAACAGGGTATCTATCATCTAACTTCTATCTTCTGTCTGTCTATCTGTCTGTCTATCTGTATCTATCTAACATCTATCATCTAACTTCTATCTACTATCTATCTATATCTATCTATAATATCTATATGTATATCTACCTACCTACTTCCCTACCTACCTACCTCTATCTATCTATCTAATCTATCTTTCTATCTCTATCTACCTACCTACCTATCTATATCTATATCTATCTATTACACACAGAGAGAGAGAGAATATGGATGATCCTTGGAAGACGGAGGGCGATTTCTAACGGTGGGTTTTGTCTTCCACTATCCCATTTGTACAGCAAGCTTTCCTTCTCCTTCATCAAAACAGGGCTAGCTAGCTTTATCAGAGAAAAATAAAGCCAGATTACAGGTAGACCTCAATTTACGACTAGTCACTTAGCAATCGGTACAAGTTACAACAGAAGCCCAAAATGGGACTTGTGACCCCGTATTCGAATTTCCAAACATCTCCTCCCCCCCCACCCCCAACAGTCACATGACCGTATGTTGGGTGCTTGGCAATTCGTCCACATTTAGGGCCCTTTGCAGCACCCCATGATCAAGTGGCAATTTAGGACAAATTTGTCAGAAATCACAACTTGGCCAAAATTGCCCCATGGCAAAGAAAGGGTTTGCTTAATAATTGCTGCAAGAAAAGGAAAAAAAAGTCTGTAAAATCAGATGTTGGTGATACGGTGAGACTCCCCCACCCCCCACGCATGCGTGCATCTCCCACAAGCGCGGCAGAGACCCAAAAATCAGCTGGCCGGCAGGAGGCGTGTGCGCATGCGTGGTGGAGCTGACCTAGGGCAACGGCTTGTGTGCCCGTAGATGGCTCCGCGTGCCACCTGTGGCACGTGTGCCACAGGTTCGCTATCATGGCTCTAGAATATGATGGTCAGAAATAACTGTACAGCACTAGCACTGTTTAAAATAGTATATATGTTAGTTTGTTTTTACCTTTGTTTCATGGCAAGTGGAATGCCAGGACAACTGCACTGTATTCAATATATTTATGTCTAAACAATAAAAATATTTTTTAAAAAAAGAACAAATATATGCTTTAAAAAAAAAATCTTCTGAATGCATAATTTGGACGAACTAAAAGCAAAGGCATGAGAAATCGATGAGATTGAAGGAGGCGGTGTGTCAGTCATACAAACAGGTAATAAAAATGAAACTACAGCTCGACACAACATCCGTTAATATAAACCACGGCCCCAGCTGGGAAGCATTACTTTAACCACATTTAACAGCGGATGAGTTAATTTCAACCCTATATGGACTTTTTCCCCTAATTCATTTCCTTATTTGGGAAAAAAAAATAGGGACACAGCTGGCACGAGAGCATATAAAGGCAGCATACAGCTACCAAATAAATATGACTTTTGTGTGTGTGCCAATGTACATATATTATGTGTGTTTGTGTGTAGAGATATTGTTAGAAGAATTTTCTTGCTTTTTCTAAACCCAAGTCACAAATAAATACAAATGGTAGCTGCTTGGAAGTAAGTTATTCATTTAATACATACAATGGTTGAAGGTAGCCTACATCGGGGTCTCCAGCCTTGGCAACTTTTAAGACTTGTGGACTTCAATTCTCAGAATTCTGCATTCACACAGCATATCATCTCCGATTTCTTTATCTAATATTCCAAATGATACAATTATTTCCGGTTTTTGTTATAGTTTTCCTAATTAATTAAGAGTGTTCAAAAGAAAGTCAATTGAGTAAAAATCTTAATTCAAACAATATACCATAATGCAGTTCACAACCATTTCCTTAAATTTAGGGGTTCAAATTTTAGGGAAGAAAAAGAAAAATTGAATTATATTAGGAATAGAAGTGAAGAAGGGCAAAATTGTATGGAAGTTTAAAAATTGTAATAGATTTAGAAATATGAATAAATTTAACATATAAGACTATAATAGTTGTCATATTGGGGGTAAGAGTTAAATTTAATTGGTTTTTATTAATATGGTGAATGATGTAGAAATGTGAAATAAAAGTATTATTTGGTATATTTGATAAATAATTAGAGATGATATTATGTTGTGTCAATGCAAATTAAGGGGATGAAATTTTAGGGAGGAAAAAGAAAAAATTGAATTAAGTTAAGAGGAAGGGTAACATCAGATTTTTTTAAAATTAGAGAGAAATAAATGTTATGCCAAAAATTGAAGGTACAAAATTGTTTTAAAGATAAATGAAAATTTGTACAAATTTATGACCGGATCAATGTTCTGTCTAGAAAAGATATATTGTATGTTTGTCTGTCTGTTTAAAAATAAAAAAAACTTTACTACAAAAAAAATAATAATTCTCAAGAATTCTGGGAATTGAAGTCCACAAGTCTTAAAGTTGCCAAGGTTGGAGACCCCTGGCCTACATCATTAGGGGTCTATTGGGAGAGGTATATATAATGACAAGCTCTGCTGGCTGCTGGTGGGCCCCAACACTTATAAAAGTCAAGGATTACCTGTATATTAGGATGTTGTCCTGAAGGTCGTGTGAAATCCAGAAAGGAAGATCGCCTTCTGATAGGTAGATTCCTCCCTAGCTGTGGATTTATTCTGAGGGGGTCAAAGTGGAGTATTGATGTAAAAGATTTCCTTTAATCAGCCTAATCTGGCTGGAAGGGGAGCAGGGGTAGCTTTTAACTTCTAACAATATATTTAGAGACAGCAAAGAAAAAACACAAACAGAGAAGAACTGTACATATATTCCGAAATGTTTTTCTTTCCTTTTTGGTGTGGCTGTTTTATTGCTCTTGATGAAATAGCTTACCCTTTCTCCGTACATTACATCATAACTGGGCCCACTCAGTCAGAAGAGTATGTAAACCCAATAAACGGGCTTTAAAGCAGGTAAAGGGGTAGAGCAGGTACATCCACATGGCCCTGTGTCCTACTTCTATGCCAAAATCAGGTACACACCTCACCTGCTGCCCTGCCAAATGAATTTGGCACCAAATTTTGGGATAAAAACTCTATTGACGGAGCCAGATTTGCACAAGGTAAAACATCAATAGACTTGGGGAATTCCACATCTTGCAACCATGGAAAAAAGAAGCTCCAGAAATGTGGTATTTGATTTGAGCTAACCCATCTAAAAATGTAAAAGAAAGCCTCCCTGGCTGCACTTGATTTCTGACTATTTCTGGAGAAGACTTGAGGATTTCTCATTTAAAAATCAAAACCAAACATCAAAATGAAACTGCATTGTGTCCAACATCAGAATTGCTACTGAGACGATCCAACGCCTCATATTTTAAACGTTGCTTAGCAGCATTTGGGAACTGAAAATGTGAGGTTCATTTTAACAGATTTAAAAGCTACGAAGAAGTAAAAGGAACGGAGTCTCCATTATTTCACTGCAACTGCAAACATGTGATGTCTTAATTCAAATTCTTTTAATTGACATAGAGGCGTTGCAACACTGCTAATGCAAAACAAATTTAGAAGACAATTTCCATGTGAAATCATACACCAGAGCTTTCCTTGATCCGGTGCCTTCCAAAATAAGTTCTGGATTACAGGATTTGAAAACCCCCGACACCCAAAGGCTGTATAAAATAAGCTTTTTATCAAAGCCCATCAGCAGAATATAATAGGCCTGCTGACTCCCATCCCAATGAGTTCGATGCAATTTATTCCCACGTTTCTATGGTTACAGTCTGATACGTCCGTTTGGTAAAGTTTAGAACGTAGAAAGACGCCTTCGACCAATAACGTATTATATAATAATAATAATAATAGTAATAATCAGTTCGACTTAACCCACCCGTCGATTTCGCAATCGGTGGATTTCCAGGGAAAATACCAGAATATCAACTATGTACAGGTTAAGATTGACTATATACACAGGAAATTCAACGCTAACTGAAAATCCGCAGCGAAGGGCATTTTAAATTAAAACACTGCGTCTGAAGTGGATCGGTGTGCAAAAACTCTCGGAAGAGCCTTCCAGCTGTCACTGCAGAGTGAAAAGATGTTGCTTCTGACATCTGACTCCTTCTGCCACTTCCACAAAGCGAAGAGCTGCTCCTTTCGCTTCCTGACAATCGGACGGCTTCAAAAGCAATCACAAGCGGCAGAGATTCAGCCAGGGGAAGGAAAAAAAAACCACTAGGAATGACCTCGACCGACATAGGGTAACAGCATTCGCCGCCTTGAGAGGCCACGGAAGATCTGAAATCCACTAGCTGGCTTCAACAGCATGGCATGCGGAGGTCACGACCGCATCGTCAAAGAATCAGTCTCTGGTTGATAATTTTTCGGTTTATTTCCGCCAAGGCCACAGAAAATACAAATGCTTTTTCGTCAGAGAGGTTGGCGTACATGTCCACTTCTTTTTCTTGTTTCTCTGTTAAGGAGAAAAGATGCTGCAGTGAAGAAAGACTTTCAGCTCCTGGTCTTGGAAGTGGAAATAGGTAGGAATTGAGCATGCAGGCATAAACTTTTATTACGCTGAACGCTAACGCAAGAAGCAGCTTGTTGAATTTAGGCGAGGATCCTACTTGTTTATTTTTATTTTTATTTCCAATTTATATATCGCCCTTCTCCCTGAGGACTCAGGGCGGTGTACAGCCAGAATTAAGAACATGAAATACAAATATTAAAAAACAATTAAAATATATATAAATTTGGCCCCAAAATTAAAAATCACAAACCAATTAAAACATTTAAAAATTTCTTCTTAAGCCAGCCCGTCTTGCTGGAAAAAGTGGGTTTTAAGGGCACGGCGGAAGGCACCGAGGTCTTGGATTCTCCTTATCTCTGGAGGCAATTGATTCCAGAGGGAAGGGGCCCCCACAGAGAAGGCCCTCCCCCTGGGGGTCACCAGCCTACATTGTTTGGCTGATGGCACCCTGAGGAGGCCCTCTCTGTGGAAGTGCACGGGTCGAATGGAGGTCGTCGGTAGCAGCAGGCGGTCTCAAAGATAGCTAGGCCCTATGCCATGCAGCGCTTTAAAGGTGATGACCAACATCTTGAAGCGCACCCAGAAGACCACCAGGAGCCAGTGCAGCTCGCGCAGGAGCGGTGTTACATGGGAGCGCCATGCTGCTCCCGTCACTACCCGCGCTGCTGCGTTCTGGACCAGTTGGAGCCTCCGGGTGCTCTTCAAGGGAAGCTCCATGTAGAGAGCGTTGCAGTAGTCAAGGGGCATTGGATGCCTCCAGGCTTGGAGAAGCCAAACAGCTCCCTGTCGCATCCAGTGAAAAGTCACATTGCGTTAATAAATGGACAATAAACAAAATCATAATAGGGTCATCCTAGTTCCACCAGGTTGTATGAGTAACTTTTCTTTAAAAAAAAAAAAATTCTAAGTAAATTGCTTGACATTTCATCCTCTGTGATTTTTTTCTGTATTCTGAAGTCATGCATGCAGGGCCGGATTTAGATGAAAAGAGGCCCTAGGCTATTCCACTTATGAGGCCCTTTCACCTATAGTGAAAGTGTAATTTTAATTTTGCTAACAATTTGAATGTAGGCCCCTCTTGATCTTGAGGCCCTAGGCTGAAGCCTAGTTAGCCCATAGGAAAATCCGGCCCTGCATGCATGGCAATAGCCCTTAAACTTAAATATCGCTTCATAGTGCTTTACAGCCAGTGGTGAAATCAATTTTTTTTTACTACCAGTTCTGTGGGCAAGGCTTGGTGGGTGTGGCATAGCTTAGTGGGCGTGGCAGGGGAAGGATACTGCAAAATCCCCATTATCTCCCCACTCTGAGGCCAGCCAGAGGTGGTATTTGCTGGTTCTCCGAAATACTTAAAATTTCCACTACCCGTTCTCCAGAACCTGTCACAACCTGCTGGATTTCATCCCTGCTTCAGAGCCTTATGAAAGAGTGGGGCCAATCTAATTTATAATTTATAAAATTATGGAGGTTAACTTTTTTTTTTTTTTTTTAAATTATGGTCAACCCAACCAATAATTTTCGTTACCTTTTTCTTCATCGTGCTTTTTAGATGAAGCTGCCTTGGGCCGTCCTCTTCCTCTTCGGCTGTGATCCGATTGACTGTGTGATCTGGACCTTTTCCTGTTTTCTAAGTCTTTATTTACCACCGGATTGATCTTCTCCCTTTTGACTCTCTCCGTGCGTCTTCTCTTAGCATCACTTCTGCTTTCTGCGGCAAGACATTTTCAAAACAGACAGACAGACACACACACACATGCACACACGTTATCAGATCTGGAACTGTTTTGAAATCTTTGCTTCATCCTGCATTTTCTCTTCGGCTTCTTTAGCTTGACAATTAGTGGGAACACCAAGTCTGCAGGCTTTCTTTAACAAACAAAGCAGAATGTCGCCATAAATCAAGTCACCCGTGAACCGTTCCTTATTTTTGAAGTTGGACAAACTTGTTTTTCACAAAAGACACTTTAGAGCAGTTTTTCCAGTAGAAGAAATGTTAACCTGCAGGAACCTCCAGGCTGCCAAGCCCCAAAAGAGAGGAACAAAATAAGAGAGGGGGAAAAAAAACAACAACCAGAAATTAAGAAGGTGAAAGAAAGAAGAAGAGGAGGAGAAAGGAAGAAGAGAAGACAACTATATTCTTCTCTACCAATAAAAAAAGAGCTGGATTATAAAACAAAGTCCCTTGTTTTATAAATGGTTGGATAGTAGAGGTAGAGATTAGGAATGGGAAATATATTACTATATAAAAATAATTGATCCAGACAATACGCTATTCACTAAGCACTTATATGTGTAATTTGAAAATATATAAATCAACTTGTTTTTTTTTAAAAAAAGAGCTCGACTAATGAAACAAAAAATGTTTAAGGGCATATGGAGAAGAAAGAGAGGTGATAAAGGAAAAAAGTAAAAATGAGTTTAATCAAGCCCGAGGAGAAAGAATATTTCTGAGCTTAAATGTTGATAAAGGAAAATGATAATGTATTTTTGCACATTAATGTCTAATACAGGCAGTTCTTGACTTATGGCCACAACTGAGTCCAAATCTTCTGTTGTTAAACGAGACGGTTGTTGAGTTTTACGACCTTTTGTTTACAACCCATTTTACGACCTTCCTTGCCACAGTTGTTAAGTGACTCCCTGCAGTTATTAAGTTAGCAACATGACTGTTAAAGTGAATCTGGCTTCCCCATTGATATAGCTTGGCAACTGACTCATATTTATGACAGCTGTGGTGTCCTGGTGTCATGTGATCCCCTTTTTGTGACCTTTGGACAACCCAAATGCGGAAGCCAGGTTCACGTAACAACTGTGCTACTAACTGAGCAACTGCAGTCACTTAATAAGGTAGGTAGGTTGTAAAATGGGACAAAACTCAATTTAACAACCGTTTCGGTTTGCCATGGAAACACAGGGCTCGGTTGTGGCCGTAAATCGAGGACTACCTATGTTTCAAGCCGAACCAAACCAGGTGAATTGAAACGATACCTGCAGAGGACGGTAGCTTTTCAGAACGTTTGGCATTCAGGAGCTTGCGACTGATAAATATATACCCACATGGACACGACTTGCACGCAACAGGAACCTTAGAAAAATACAAGAAGGGGAGGGAGGGAAAGGGAAGGAGGAAAGGTGAGACTTCGTTTTGAATCCCTTTGTCATGAGAAACACAAGCCTAGGTGACAGGTGTATAGGTACAACCAGGAGCTATACCGCTGAAGACTTTATGTCCTGTGTTCTCCGTCTTCAATGTTCCTTCCGTAGGAGGTGTGGGGGAGGGGGGGGAGAGAAAGTTCCTGCTTGATGGAGAACTTTTATTTTGCACATCAGCCCAAAGAAATGATGAACTGAATTCCAGCTGATTTACTTCTGAATGCACAATGTAATTTTGTCCATTGTCCACTGTTGCTTGTATCCTTACGATTTATATTGATTGGTTCCTAATATGATTTGATTCCTTATTTGTACCCTATGACTATCATTAAGTGTTGTACCTTATGATTCTTGACAAATATATTTTCTTTTTATGTACACTGAGAGCATATGCACCAAAGACAAATTCCTTGTGTGTCTAATCACACTGGGCCAATAAAGAATTCTATTCTATTCTATTCTATTCTATTCTATTCTATTCTATTCTATTATTCTATTCTATTCTATTCTATTCTATTCTAATTCTATTCTCTATTCTATTCCTAGTCTAGTCCTATTCTATTCTATTCTATTCTTTCTATTCTATTCTATTCTATTCTATTCTAGTCTATCTATTCTATTCTAGTCTAGTCTATTCTCTATTTATTCCAGTTTCCTATCTATTCTATTCTAATTCTATTCTATTCTATTCTATTCTATTCTATTCTAGTCTAGTCTAGTCTAGTCTATCTAGTCTATTCATATTTCTAGTTCTATTCTATTCTATTCTATTCTATTCTATTCTCTATTTATTCCAGTTTCCTATACTATTCTATTCTATTCTATTCTATTCTATTCTAAGTCTAGTCTAGTCTAGTCTAGTCTAGTCTATTCTCTATTTATTCGTTTCCTATTCTATTCTATTCTATTCTATTCTATTCTATTCTATTCTATTTCTATTCTATTCTATTCTAATTCTATTCTCTATTTATTCCAGTTTCCTATACTATTCTATTCTATTCTATTCTATTCTATTCTATTCTATCCTATTCTATTCTAGTCTATTCTAGTCTAGTCTAGTCGTCCATTCCAATTCTATTCCTATATTCCTACTCTAACCTGACAGGATCCTCTGCAAATCATCTGCTGACACCGCACCCCCGTATTTATCTCCTTGACAGTAAATCAGCTGCACAATAACAAAATTACTTTTGTATGCAGTTCACATCCTTGGAGATGACCCACTCACCAGCAACCACAGTGAGACTTCCCCTGATAATAAGCCCAATCAGGCTTTTGAGCGCATGCAATAAAATAAGCCCCCTCACCCTGAAAATAAACCTTCCCCGAAAATATTTAAACGCATGCGTAGCCAGTCCCCGCTATTTCCTCTGGTTTCCTTCACGCGCCCCAAAATAATAAGACCTCCCTGAAAATAAGGCCAAGCGCTTATTTCAGGGTTCAAAAAAATATAAGACAGGGTCTTATTTTCGGGGAAACACAGTAGATAATAATTATGTGTTTTAAATTAGAAGTGTCTTACAGCAGAAACTTCCTGGATTATTTGCCTTTTTTTTTTTAATTGTTTCAATGGGTTGTTATTAATTTGTGTGGGTTTTTTTTTTAAAGGAAAACAAACGCAACATGAAACCTTGGAACACAAACGAAGTTGGACTGGAAAGAAAAATGCTACAAAATTCAACATTCCTTTTAAAACTCTCCCTCTGGGTGCGTCACACACAGGATTACAACCACAGCTCGCATTCCCCCCATCCCCGCCCCCCCCAGAATTTCTTGCTATTAACAAAGGAGTCCATTCACTATGCAACTAAGCAACTAAGGACAATTAACTAGGTTGATACTCCAGAAGAACTAGTCCTAAAAATGGAGTTTGCATTCATGTTGTTAAAGAATATTTTTTTTACAAATTAGGAGCAAGGCAATTGATGCTGCAATGCTACTTGAGTGCCATTTTAAATCCAAACTGAGGCACAGCATTGATGAATGCTTTTCCTCCTTGTAAAAGCTCACTGTCAGATATTAGAAGAGCATAACAGAATAAATTTCCCCATCGCGCACTACATACAAATGTTCAGCTGCAGCTTCCAATGGAGAACAGAGCCAATGATTCAGTCTAAGCAGCTCCAGTGTTTCTGGACAGATGCTTGGACCGCATTCCAAATCTCGCTTTCCCAATGGCATTTTCCTTGGCCAATAACTAAAAGCTGCCATTTTCGTGAATACATTCAACCTTCAGCTGCCTTTTAAGTCGCATTACAAGGGTTTCATTGACTTGCTCTGGTTCCAAGGGGCTTCTTGTTTATTTTATCTTCTTAATTTGCAGGTTTGATCTTAATGGGTTCTGGAATCAATTACAATTTAGCTCACATGAATGGGAAGCAGATTTTTTTTCTTTTTAAAAAAACAACAACATTACAAGCCCACAATTTTAGGGTATGAATCCAAACACAAGAGAGACTTATGACTCTCCTGCAAGTGGTGATTTTAGGTCAATGCCATTTGGTATTTGCTTTATACACATTTTCAATCAGCAGCAGTGTGTTCTGATTTTAGAAATTCTTTTTTTTTAATAATAGGAATTGAGGGGGTAGCTTCACCTTGGAGATGAGTCTTTTTAAGTGCTAAAGAGAGCTAAAGATATTTCAGTTTTGCTGAAGGGAGCATAAATCCTCCTAGTCTCCTTTTTTTTTACATTTCCAGTCTCCTTAGCTACAGAACGATCCTATTTCATAGGATTTTATTTTATTGAACAAGACAACAATGACATAAAATATAGAAATAATCTAATAGCAGCTCCTGGCTTCTTTCTGAAGGTGGGGTTCACTACAATGCCAAGAACTGTATATGAACGTTCCTCAGCACAAAGAATTCTCGCATATTTATTTTTATCTTGACATTGAATATCTCTCCCAGGAATTCTTAAAAATTACTATGACTTGGGAGGGATATTTTGATTCCAGTTGCCCCCAAGCAGTTTTATGATCTGATATTTCAGAAAAAAAGAAACAATTATAGGATTTTTCACAAATTTAAAAAAAAAAAAAAACCACCCCAAAAGCTTTTCATCACAAGAGCTATAAATAGCTCCTCGGAGGCTTTCAAGAACACTGGAGCAAAACAGCATGAGCTGCTAGGAAGAATTAGCTTATAAAGCACTAAAACAAGGCCTTGGGGGAACGGTTAAATAAAGCAAAACTCCTCCATGACACATTTATACCACAGCAAAAGCTCTCTTAATTTTGCTTTGTTTGGTCATCATCCAAGGCAACCCCCCCCCCCCCCCCCCACACACAAAGGAGGCAAATTTGTTTAGGTTAGAAACACTATTTCATGCCCAGTTTAACGTATTAACTTTGGTAAAAGTCTGCAAAACACACACACACACACACACACAAGAAGACATGTCACAGAAATACACACGCAAAGCAAAAAAAAAAAAAAGTAAATATCTTATGAGAGCAGTACGAATTGTGCTTTCCCCAGGAACAAAACGCTCCCCGATTTTGGTGGGAATATGAATCTTGCTTTGTATCACAACCTTGAAGGTTAGTGCAAGTACGGCCTGCCAGTCACTGCAACTTCACCTCCGCCTCCAAAGCCTCACAACTTAAATTGATCAAGGGCAGGTTTCTTCCTCCCAAGGAGTCCAGTGGCACTGGGCTGTCATTCGTTGACGAAAGGAAGATCATATATGTTGCTCCGAGTTAAGGGATTGTTCTAATCTGGGCGGGGGGTGGGTGGGTTGGACTAGATGACCTACAAGGTCCCTTCCAACTCTGTTAATCTGTAATTTGGTCTGCATTCCTGGCAAGGGCGATGGGTTCTGGGATGGATTTTGGTACCCTGAAACGAGTGAATCACTGCAGTTATAATACAATTGCTAAGTGAATTGTCAATTCCCCGTTGACTCTGCTTGGGGTAAGGTTGCAGAAGGGGATGGGCATGACTTCGGGACACCTGCGACCGTCACAAATATGAAGCAGTTGGCAAGCACCTGAGTGTAAATCACATGGCCAGGGGGACGCTGCCATGGTTGTTAAGTGTGAAAAAACGGTTCTAAGTCCCTCTTTTCCCAGTGTAACTTTGAACGGTCACTAAATGAACTGGTGTAAGTCGAGGACTACCTGTGTTTGAGGAAGTTTGCAAAAAAAAAAAAAAAAGAAAGAAAGGAAAAGAAAAGAAAGCTAACGAGGTGATGTATTTTTATCACTAAACAGAGAACTATGTAATACTTTTAAGTCCAGGTAAAATGCGCCACAATATAATAAGTATCCTTCCAATTTTCAGAACTTTTTGGCTAATTTTACCCATGCGATTTATTAATAAGCCTTCATATGGTTTGATTTTGGCTTATCAAACTTAGTTGGACCACGTTAGCGTTACGTATCACTTAATCCTGGGTACCAGTTAGGAGAGAACACTAAAACCTCAATCTTCTCTTTGTTGACTCCATCTTATATCTTTGACTGAGGTAGTTCTCCTGGAATTTTTTTTATTTTTAATTTTTTTGCCTGTTTAATCTTGCTTTCATTTTGCTTTACATCCTGCATCTGGAAACCCCCAAAACATTTTTTGACACGTTGAATGGTTCTAATAAAGTATTATTCAACTGCAATTTGGGGGCTTTTTTTTAAAAAAAGAAACAGACTGGTATGACTTATTTTTGTATGTTTTGAAAAATGCCAGTAATAACATTAGGTAAATGGGGGGGGGAGAGATAAGAGTACTTTTTAAAGGGAATGTTACACATTGCACATTATTACTAATTGCTAAAAGGACACAGGGTGTCCTGCCGGCCGCCTTGAAAGAGGCGGTGGTGAGGCCTCTCCTCAAGAAGCCATCCCTGGATCCGGCTATTTTGGCTAACTATCGTCCAGTCTCCAACCTTCGCTTTATTGCGAAGGTTGTTGAGAGTGTGGTGGCGCGACAGCT